CACCCCCCACTTCCTATAACAACCCCAGAAAATAAATAGATAGAAAATTATATTCTGTCTCGTATTCATATAGCATAGCAAGCATAGCATAGTAATCGAATCTCTGCAAACCACAACACAGCCTAATTTTAAGCAGATGAGATGACGCGTTTGTTGGACTTTACTTAAGTTCGCGGTGGATGGGGTTTTATGGTTTCAGGAGAGTAGAGGAGAGTAGATGGAGGAGGTTTGCTAGGTGAATGAGGCTAAGCACGACCACGACTTTATTTAGGAAGGTGCACGGACGAAATCAATCACAAAAGCACGGACACGTAGCACTGAATCTAGATGTGGTGATTGATGATTTTTGATTTCCATTTCCATTTCCATTTCCATTTCCATTTCCATTTCCATTTCCATTTCCATTCCGCTTTATTCCATCCATGGCCCCCTCCACTTTCACTTCGCTCAGACCATAATGGTCCTCGGCCGGAACCGTGTCTCTCCGGCATAACCATACATAGATACATACACCCCCCTCTTATTCTTCCCTCCTTTTGTCCTCTCCTTTCTCTCCTCTACTATTTCCAACCATCCGATCACAACCACGGCACCTCATTTCACACCACCTCATATTCAAATCCGGTAATAGTCCAACAGCTGAGTAACCATCCATCAGTCGCCCATTCAAATCGTCCTATGCATGCAAGCCGCATGCATAAAAAAGCAAAAAAAAACACCAAATAAAAAACGCAAGCCATGACGAGAAAAGATAATATGAGTGAATAAGAGCCAGAAGAGCGCCGTCCAAGAAGGGTTACTTCAAAAGACAAAACAACAAACGCCTATTTAAATTTCTCGAGGAACGTCCTTTCCATTCATGCAATAATCCCCCTTGTTCGTCTCGAGTTTGATTGAAAGACATAGGAAAAGTGTTGTTTCGTTCGTTGGTTCGCTCGCGTGCGGGGTATGATGAAAAAAAGGGGAATGAAACGCCCAACATGCAGATGTTATGTTTGATCGTCGCGATGATTGATGGATTGGGTCCTCTTGCGTGTCTCGTATGAACTGAACGTTCATTCTTCATTAAGATATTAGGAAACTCGTTCTCGCTCCCTCGGGTCTGACCTCCAGCCAGAATCCATGCATTAAACATTTAGTGAAATGAAGTTCCGTTATTGTGTAGCAGCAACACACCAATGTCTGTGGAAGACCCATGCGCTCTTCTGGCATTCCTTGCTACAGTATTTCGTCCTTCTGCATCGCCTGCACTTGGCAAATTGCCGGGTAAATTCTTCCCACTTTCCACATTGGTAGTAAGCACATTGTCGAATTCCACCTCGACTATCATCTTTCCTGCATAGGTTTCGCATCACAACTCCTGCCCAGTATTGCATGTCCTGGCTGTGATGTCTGACGGTGAACTTTTCCACCAGAGGGAAGATGTTGAAGTCGTCTGGAAGGAGATATTCTTCTTCCTCCGAATCGCAGGCGGAATGACAAGTACTTGGCGAAGAGGATGAGGCAGAAAATGGGTGGGTTTCGTCAATATCGAGTAGGTGTAATTCGGAGCCGATCTTGAGTTTCGGCACGAGATGTGATTGTTGAAAGTAATCGCGGAGGTTGCAGTATTTTGAGACATAAGCAAGGAGTTGTAGTGACAGGAGAACATCCTCATCCCTCGGCATCGCAGCGAGGACTTGCCCACTGGTGGGAGTGTGTCGATCCAGGAGGTATCTAGGAATTGTGGCATTAGGCATCGCTGGAGGTGTATTTGTGGCGGCCTGTTGAGCAGGTGAAAGACCCATTGTTGGACCGGTCGGTGTTGTGGCTTCATTAATCATACTGCCGTCAATGGCAGAGCGGTGAGTGATATTGAAGGTCCCGACATCTTGAGCTTCCGATACAGTAGGAGTTGTCAACCCAAGCGGTGTCTCCACTGCAGTGAGCATGCTATCTCCGTCATCCATATTTATATCTTCGATATTTACGGTCGTTGACTGGATTTCTGGTACATTCGCACCAGAGATTTCGGGGTCTACAGACTCATCAGATGCCATGCTATCCGCGTTGGGGTCTTCTGGTTCCCCACCCATGGAAGCTTGATGTCGGATTGAAGGCCGCCTTCGTGAACGAGCCGCGGGTGCTGACAGATTCGTAGGGCGAACAGTAGGTGATCTCAATTGGTTTGGAGGAAGTGGTGTTGTAGGAGAATCTGGCTGTGATGTGAGACCGGTATGGAACCCAGGAACCATTGATGGCAGACGATCCACGTCCCGGACAGGTCTAAGGTTGAACCCATCCGCTGTGTCCATTGATGGCACTGCGGTAGCAAGAGGCTGGATGTTGTGTCGAGATGGGGGCAAGAAATGCTGTCTGGCATCCTGCCCTCGGTGGTGATGATGGTGATGTCTGTGACCAGAGAATGTAGTCCTCTCTGGAGGAGATGTAACAGCGAATTGAGGGCCAGTGGGAGTCGTTTCCATGGCATCCGAACCGGTAGCCGGAGGAGGGTTCACGTATGTTGTAGGTATTTCGATAGATGGCGGAGGAGCTTGTCTTCTAGATGGTCGGAATTCTGATTCAAATCGAGATGTTCGGTTCCCAAATGAAGCCCCCTTGTGAGAGCTTCGGTGCTCGCTGGACCGAGAGCCATGTCGACCGTCTTGTAGCGCCTTGTGCTTTGCTTCCTCTGCCTTTTCTCGGCACCTGTCAACAACCTTGATGTAGTTGTCGAGAATGGTAGCAATGACCGGAACCATGTCAGCCTCGACAACTCTGGTACGAACGGCCTCCGATCCTCGGACCCCAATATTTACAACATTCTGGAATGCCAAGTTCCATTTCCACATATCCATCATATCCTTACTCCGGCCTGCCTTGAGAAGACATACCAGTCTCTCGACGCCTCCATCGACAGTCAGGATGTCTCTTATGCGGGCGGAGGAGGTTGTGAGGTATGCAAGGTGGTTGAGCGAATTGATCAGTGGGAGGGTGGATGTGCAGTCGAGCGCTCGACGATCGTACAGGGCGGTAGTGATACCGACCGATGCCTTGTTGACATTTGGGATACTGAAATTGACTTCCCTCATGATGGAGTCGCTCCGCAAGTCGCGGGAAAAGGAGGTGTTGGGTTCGTCTCGGGGTGTTTCAGGTGTCCGTCGTTACTGGAGGTGTTATTTGGCGGCCAGCAGACACAGCGTGCTCGAATGATCGGGCTGAAGGTATTTTGTGTGTGAGGCTCGCGTGGTTGAGTGCGAGCAGACGCTTGATATTGTGATTCGATTTGAAATTGGCTCGGGGGGCGGGTGATGAAGATGTGGGTCGCCTCCGAGGGATCAGGAAAAGGATAGAGTAATCAGTGTAACGATGCTATAAACGGCGGTAGGGTATCAAGCAAATGTGATAAATGCAGTAGACTCGACGGATTCGATGCAAAAAGTTATCGGGATGAAGGAGGTTGGGTGATGTCCAGTGAGGTGATGTGTTGTGAGAGATTGTGGTCGGGGGTGATGGGGAATTAAGCGTGTCGCAGATGCTGACTCCTGCTTAGGGATCGGATCGGACGCTGTGCCAATTCCAACCGACTGCAATCAAGTAGTCGGCGGGACGAGAATTCGATATTTGCTGAACAAGAGCACGGCGGGGGAGGAAGTCGTGGATGTCGGGTTTGACGATGGGGAGAGGTTGAAGAGCGAGAGAGGAGAAGGGTTTGGATTTGGGTTTGGGTTTGGCTTGTGGAGTCGGATGGATACTCGAGTAACCTAGCGAAAACGGACGTGCGTGCTTTGCTTTGCTCTCCTCCTTTGATATTAATTAAGGTTGAAATTGCGAGAGCAAGAGCAGGGTGGGATGTGCGAAAGGATAAAATTCCCAGTAAATAAAATAGAAGAATGTAATGTAAAGTCCAAAAGCGGACGGAGATAGAATGGCTGGTGGTGGGAGTTGGATGCGATGGGATGGGAATAAGAGAAAGCTGGATGGAGATGGAGGACCCGCAGGCAATGCTCGGCCTTTGAGGACTGGATGGTGGACTCTGATTGGGTCAAGACGTGGTGGAGCCGAGCTCCAGCCAATCCCAAGGCAAGGATTTATATGTTCGCCGCCTTCACCCTTCGGGCAGCATAGACTGGGACTAGACTAGGCTTTCGAATCAGACCAAATCAAAATCACTGACTAATCAATGAACTCTCTGCTGGAGCTGCAAAGATAATTAGTCTTTTTTGCCTCTTTATTTTTATACATTTTGGATGATTTATTCTACTCCCGACAAATGGACGCGAGGCGGATGCTAGAGTATGGACACGAACTACTTACGTCTAGAGCTGGTGGAGTGCCGGTACTATAGGAGTTATGTCAAACATTTATCGCATTCTCAGCCTCTAGACTTTTGAAAATGGGGAAATGGCTTATGCAACTCCCAAGTACACCTCCCGACTGATGCATACAAGACTCCATATATCTTCGTACTCTACTGTACTATATCACGATATCATGCGAGATCGCTCCTGCACGTCCAAGCTGAATACAGTTAACTTCTTTCACTTGCACTTACTTTACTCACCGCTCCACTCCACAATCCATCCATCCACTCTCACAGATCAACCTCCTGTCTGTGTAACACTCACTATATACTAAAGTCTAAAGCATGCCATTTCCAACCTCCCCTCCCTATCTCTTCCTCTCCTCATTCCAGCCTCATCTTCTCTCCAACCATCCAACCATCCAACTACCCCACCCAAGCAAGCGCCCCTACCGCCCGCCAACCACATGCAGCCGCTGCAGAGGCGTCAATCACAGCACAGCACAACACAACACAGCGCTTAATTCAACCCCCCTTTCATTACCTTTTCCTCACCTGCAAAACAATATACATACATACATACATAC